TCCCCTAAATCTGAACGTATGATGCTTACATTACACTTGAAGTGAGCTTGCACCATAGTATGGAATAATTTAAATGTCGCAAAGACCTCTGATTTGTGCCATAGAAAATAAATCCAAGTGTATCTGGTACAATCATCTATAAACAATACAAAGTATTTGTATCCCAATCGTGAAGTAATAGAAGCAGACCAAACATCACTGTGTAGAATCTCAAAAGGTGCAGCGGCATGCTCATAAGTGTGAAGAAAAGGTAAAACATTACTTTTATTCAAGCAACAGGCAGTACAAGAAACATCAAAAGTATGAACTAGAGGAATTTTATTCTTAACTAAACCAGAATCAAACAAAAACTTCAATTTTTGAGAATATGGATGACCTAATCATTTGTGCTATAAATCACAAACATTATTTCTGACTCAACAAAGAACCAGACATATAAAAACTAAGAAAAGCCGAGGATGCTGCTGATTGAGATTTCTCAAACTCCAGTACAAACAGACGGCAAAGCCTACGCCCCTTCCCTTTCACCTTCCCAATGTACCGGTCATGTGTCAAGCAACCATCATGAGAAAAGGTAAGAACATTCCTTCACCAACAAGTTGGCCAATAGAAATCAGATTAGTAGTAAGGTTGAGCACTAAGAGGGTTTTTGAAAGAGGGAGGGACATAGTGGATGATAGTTTAAGGGATAGGTCATTACTACCAATAATGTCTAACTTTTCACCATTGGCAGTAACAATGTGTTTATGGTGAGTTTCAATAAACTCATTTGGTTGATTGAAATAGCCTCCTGTCATATGATTGGTGGCACCTAAATCTATAATCCAAGCATGTAAAGCAGAAAAACAATATCCAGAGAACTTACAAGACAAGCCAATAGCAGAAAAAGTAGAGGAAATGGCAAAGGATACCAATTGTCGAATGATGTGAACCCTTAGTTACCTGATAAGCCCAAGGTTGAGTCTTTTTCTTAGAACCCTTAGTTGGTCAGGCTGGACAATCTGGAATGATGTGACCATGTTGCTTGCAATAGGTGCACACATTCTTCGTTTTACAATGAGAGGCAATATGTCCAAAACCCTTACACTCATAACACTGGGTTTTGGAGAAGTCCTTGGAGGTTGACTTCTTACCTCCATGAGCTACAAAGGCTGTTTCAGCCCCAATTTCAGTCATCTTTCCATCAAATCCAGTTGCAGTGAGAAGCCTAGTCTCTTCTCTCAGTAACTCCCCCAAAACAAAATCCAAATCTGGAAGTGTTCATCAACTCAAAATATTGGACTTGATTATCTCATATTCAGGTCTAAGCCTCATCAAAAACTGATTTTCTTTCCTCTTCTCAAAATGTTTATGGAGATATCTCACACATTCTGCTGAGTCTGAGGGATCAATATGGAAAATTTCATATTCAGCCCACAAATCAAGAAAGCTTGCATAGTATTCCTGTATCCTTCTATCTCCTTGACAGTAAGCAAATATCTCTGATTCTATTTCATATTGTTTAGACATATTGGACTGTTGATAAAATTTCTTCAAATATAAATACATTTCATAGGTTGTTTTCATTCTCCTCATAGGTACACAAATATGAGAATCAATTGAGCTGAGAATCCAAGAAAAAATCTTGTTGGTATCTAGTTGCATTGTTGTAAGGCTTTGGCCTCAGACTCAGTTGGTCTAGTGACAGTCCCATTCAGGTGTCCTTCCAAACCTTTCCCTTCAACATAAAAATCAAGTGTTCCACATTCCATAATTTTGTCCATTCAGTTTTACAGGAATAATACCCCCTTTGTCTGAAGGCATTATAGCAGAAAACAATAAATCACACAGAAAGCCAAAAACAGTTTCAGCAATAGTCCAAATACCAATCCGAACACCGGTCCGAACAGCAGTCCTCTTCTGCCCAAGAGAGGGAAAGAGGAACCAGCACTACAGCAATCGAGAGAAGTCCAGAGAAGGGTCCGAACAGCTTCAGCAAGCAAAAAAGGGGTTGATAGTCCAAAAAAGGTAAGTTTTAGGACTGTCAAAAGAAGGGACCAAAAACCCTTCAAAAAAAGGATGAAAAGGAGATCTAAGAGAATAGGCAAGAGGGGTCTAGAGTGATACCAGATCTAGAGTTAAAGGCTGATTGGATCAGCCGAAAGGAGAAAAGTGGGATAAACCAACCTGTCAAGCATCTTTTTCAGAAAAATGAGGGTTTTTGTGCTGATCGAAACAGCCCCCAAGAAGATCCAGATCAGAATCTAAACAGTACTGATGGAATCCTTGAAAAGCACTCTTCAATCTTGTACAGAAACCAGAACTCCCAGGCTGATACAAATGACCCACTCCGATACCATGTGAGCAGAACTGAGAGCAAAGAAGAGCAGATTCAGGGGTGTCTTGAATAGTTGACCTCCACCCCAAGGAGCCCCTTTTATATTAAAAGATATGTACAGTTAAAAGAATGCCCTTATAGGGCTGGAAGAAAGAAAAAGAACAAATAAAACAATAAGTGTACTGTAGAACAGGGACTATACTAATAATATACATCAAGATATATCTCCACACTAATGATTTCACCTTACTTTCCAGCTCATAGGCTCTAGCAACATTAAGGGGCTGAGAATATGTTTTTTCATATTATCCCAAATCTACTTGCCCAAATATAGTTTCTGCTAATATGAGGCTGCATGGAATTGTACAATCAAGTCATAACAAGATAGTTCTCTTGAACCCACTTAGCATGTCATTGATCTTCCTTTGCTAATTTTTTTGTGCCTCCTACCACATATTCTACTTTTCCTCTTCCCCCAATGGCCATCATGGCTGATTGGGCCCACTCCAAATAATTTGTTCCATCAAATTTTACTATGGTAACCTGAAAAGAATTGTTGTCTACAACACTTCCAGCCCTCACAAGTCCTTCCCCATATGATTTAAATTCATTCCCGGTTGTCTCATGCTAAGCACACCCCAAGTGATTCACAGGCTAGGAGAAAATTGCAGAATTCCACTCCTTTCCACACAAACTAGTCCCTTCAGAAGTTGTTCAGCAACCCCTAAAACTGAAAACAGCCCACAAACTTTTTCTAAGAACCCAAAGAAAAGGAATAACAGATGAAGAATTGGCTGAAAACCAGTAGCTGATCACTCTTCAGAGGAAACCCTAGAATCAGCCCTGGAGAAAGCCTAAAACTGAAAACCGCTTCCTCCAAAGGATTCTAAAAGACTTCTGACAGGTGTCGATCTAAATACTAGTGTGAAATATACTCAGAAAAGTCTGAGTGCCACCTTCAATCACTGATTTAAACCCTAAATCACAAAACTAACCTGTTTTCTTTAACTCTACCTGGGAGGTAGCCCGTCCCCAAACCTACAACCACCCCCCTCCCATAAAGGTGGAATTCAATCCAAAGTCTCCGCTACAAACCAGCTAGAGACCTTACCAACTAAGCCAGTTGGCAACTTCATTTTTTTTTTCCTGGTCAAGCAGCCAAGGACAAGCATAGGACTAAGAAAACAATTTCACCAATAGTGGCAACAGTCCTAGAGATTTGCAATTAAAATTAACAACAGCAAGGGCATAGTTGAATTAATATATAAAAGCTGGAGGTCCCCAACTGAAGAAAAACAGTGGGATAAACTGAAGATATGTCCACTGAATAGATGTCAGTTTCATGTAAGAAAGTAATAAATAATCTTGATTCTTGCAGAGCATAAACATGAGAAGTATCAGAAAGCCTTGCTTTGGAGGCTTCATAGGGTTATATAAAGAAGTCAAAAAGAAATAGATTGGAACTTCCTAGACCTAACTTAAAATGTAAGAATTGCTATGCCGTCCTACTCTCCCACATAACAACATTCAAATCATATGAAAGCCTATTGAGTATTGAACAGAGTAGCAAGCACCAATAAATGGTTATATATTCAGCTAAGTGGCTACCAGAATACTGCCTCTAATTCTAAAATTCAGGAGCGATATTGTGAATTTATTTGCAATATTTACTTGAAAAACCATATAACCAATAACCATGTAAAATGTAATTATCTGAAGGGGTGATGGAAATAATGGATTTTGAAGAAAGATGGAGAAGATGGAGGTGGAGCTCCTGTTTTTGGGAGGACTCATTAGGGCATATTCTCCATCTTAGATTGTTGGAACTTCTTTCTATCTCTTTTGGGTTGTAGTGACTTGGGAAAAGATGGCCTTATTTTCATTTTGGAAACTGCTGGTTGATTTTTCCCCTTTTTTCCTTCTCTTCAGCATATACGGAAGGAATGGAATAGGAGAAGATTTGAGGATTCATGTCTACCAAGGATTTACACCAAGATTAGAGCCACTTCTTCTGGATTGGTTCTCTACCTCAGAAGTGCTTAAGATCTTGGATCTATCTTCTCTAGGGGGAATTGGGGGTTGTGGATAATACCAGACAATGTTCCTAACTTTTGATTGTTGGGTGATGCTTTTTCCTTGAGATGATGTAGCTTCTTATATGGAACACACACACACACACACATATATAAGACGAGAATAAACATTGTTATGGCATAGGAAATTATCAGTAAAACTTCTAGATATGGCATTATCTTCATAGTATTCATATTTTCAAGAACTTCTGCTATTGGAATTTCTTGAATAAAAATATACAAATCACCAATAATCATCAATGTTTTATTCACCTGACTTACCATCATTACTGCAGTACTTTCAGTTTACTGTTTTACATTATGCAACATAGTAAATGTTGATAGAAATTGGAAAACAAGACTAGAATCAAATAGCACAAAATTAAATTATAGGGTAAAAAACAAAACCTGACTTTGAAAGATTTTCAAATGCCAGGCTTCATTTTTGGACATGTACTCATATTAGACACAAAAAAATAAAAAAATAAATAACACAATCGTCAAGAAAAGCAAAAGGAACATTTTAATATTTAGCCAGAATTATGTCCATGCAATTATGCAAATACATAGAACTTATTAGATTTATATAAATAAATAAGCAAGATAATGACCTTGATATGGCCATTATGAGCAATTAACAAGTTGTCTGGCTTCAGATCTCTATGAATGATATTTAAGGAGTGCAAATATTCCAATGCAAGAACCTGAAATAATTAACAAGTACATAAAGTTATCCAAGTTGAACATTTGCTTATATAAACCATGACGAAACAGATATAAGCAGCTGTATATCTGGATGATAACAAGAGCTGGACAAGTTCTTACAACTTCTGCTATATATAAACGGGCCATATCTGCATCCAAACAACCTAAGTTTCTCAACAAGGAATAAAGATCTCCTCCATTCAAGTATTCCATGACCAGATATAGATTTTCCCTGCATGTGAAGGAGTAGAAAAAACGGACCTGTTCACCATTTGATTAGAAACACAAATTAGAAAAAGTAGTTTTGCATACTCTCTGCCCTTGAAGTAGTTAAAAGTTGCAGAGCAGCTCACCACAAAAGGATTGCGAACTGTCATTAGGATGTTTCGTTCAGCCAAAATGCTTTCTACTGCATTTTTGCGAATCATATCTGCCTTTTTCAGAACCTGCAGAAAAATTCGGTGATACTAGCATCTTAATGATCAAACAACCAAAAGTAAACATTCCACTAAGATTTTTAAAATGACTTCTTTACTTTCTCTGAGGTAGATCAGTATGCAGTTGAAATCCATAAAAGGTGGTATAACCAAAGGTAGCTAAAACATTCACGTACAACACTACTATTAACATGCAAGAAGGAACACAACCAAATTATGATGTAGAAGTATATGTTAATTACAATCCATGATAGTTGCACCTATACAAAAGCCCACATAATAAAATTGTTCAAACTTAAATGCATAATTCAGTGGAGAAGGGAAAGCTTAGAGTGAAATTTACCAGATTTACATCAATTTAATAAAAATAATTATGAAACCTTGAATTTAGGCAGAATCACAAGGCAATTTTATTTTCTCATTCTTGCTATGACCATGATTCACAATTTTGCGGAAACTTTGCAAATTATGCCAATATTTTATTTTTTTTAAAAGAGTAAAGAGTTGAAATAAAATCCCTTAGGTTTAAAAATGATCCACTTCCCAATGGAAAAAATGACCTTCAAGTCCACTTTTCAGGACATTTCTGACACTTCGAATTTTCTTATATACCTACATATCTGCAAGATAAAGATAACTTCACTATTAATGCTAACTTGAGGAGGAGCTATTTGTAGTGATAGGCCCGTGTAGTAGAACCCTTGCTCCCTTCTAAATGTTGATTATGAAAGGAAAAAGGAAAAAGGACTGGGAAATTAATTATAGGATTTCTATGGGATATGAATATTGCAAGTCGAATTGGTTACCAGCTCCAGGGTGCCTCTATCTCTGAATGATGATAGAGTGATATGGGTCTGCAACCCTTCTAGGCATTTCTCAACAAAAGCTGTTTGGGAGAAAGGTAGGAGGGAAGAGCAGGTTCGATGGCATAAGGTGCTTTGGCGCAAGGCGATGCCAACAAAGATTGCCTTTTTTAATTGGAAGGTTATTAATAGCAGACTTAGGGTGGATAAGGATATTCAATGCCTTAGAAATCCTGCGTTCTAGGTGTACTTGTAAAAACCCGAGTGTAGAAGATATAAATCACTTACTGGTGAAAGGATGCCTAGCACGTAAAGTTTAGGCCTTCTTTAGTTTGGTTTTGGGTATATGATTGTTTGATTCTAAATCAGCTAAAGGAAGACTTTATAGGTGTCTGGACCTGGGTTTTCATCATAATAATGAATGGGCTGTTGTGGGGGGAATGACAGCTTGTTTTTTTAAAGGCAACTTTCATTCAAACAATAAGGGAAGGGTGTACATGAGGAGATATACACACACAAAAAAAAAAAAAACATGGCTTCCTTAAAAATAAAATAACTAAATCCATCTCAAGAAAGAGAAAAGGTATTTGCACTATGCATCAAATTCCTTCCTAGCCCACTTTTAGCTAATGCATCACCCACAACATTGAAGTTCCTAGGGAACCATCTGAAACAGCAATGGAGTGGAATCAAAGAGATCAAGGTGTAAGTGGTTACTGGATGGAGATGGGAACTCAAAATTCTTTCTTCTTTTGCTAATGGGAGAAGAAGGAAGAATATAATCTCTAGCATTGTGAGTGAAGATCAGCTAATAACTTCAAATGAAGAAATTGAAAAGTGCTTTGTGGATTATTTTAAATCAATTTTTCCACCCTAGAAGAAAGGATTGTGAATTTAGGGGACTTGAATTGGGACAAGGTGCCGCTTCTTAAAGTTGTGTTCTTGGAAAGAGCATTCAGTGAGGATGAGGTCCATGAAGCAGCCTTCAATATGGAAAGGCCAAAAGCCCCAAGACCTGATGGTTTATCAACGGCTTTCTATCAGGACTTTTGGGAAATCATAAAGGATGACTTAATGGTTGTATTTGTAGAGTTTCATGAAAAAGGGAAAATTTCACTGAGAGCGAATGCAACCTTCCTAGCCCTAATACCCAAGAAGAAAGATGCTAAAACCCCTAAGGACTACAGACCTATAAGTCTTATTGGTAGCCTTTATAAAATCATTGCAAATGTCCTAACAGGAAGGCTAAAAACTGTTCTACCCTTGGTAGTTTCCCAAAACCAAAGGGCCTTTGTTGCAGGGAGACAAAAAGTGGACCAAATTCTAGCTGCAAATGAGCGTGTCGCAACAAAGATGAAACAGGGAGGACAAGGCATAATCAATGGAATGGATTAGTCCTTCCTCTTATGCTTGTTATGGAGAAAAATGGTCTAGGAGAAAGATGGAGAAAGTGGATCAAAGGTTGTATTAGTTCGGTGCATTTCTCAGCTCTAATCAATGGAATGGCTAAGGATTTATTTCCAGCAAAGAGAGGAATAAGGCAAGGAGATCCTCTCTCTCCCTTCTTGTTTGCATTTGTGGTTGAGGTTCTAAGTAGGCAAATCACAAAGGATGATTACGAAGGTCTTATCAAAGGTTGGAGGGTTGGGAGATCTGAGGTGGTGGTAACTCACTTGCAATTTGCATATGATATTATCTTTTTTTGTGAGGAGGTTGATAATTACAGTTTGAAGAATTTGTGAACTTTAGGGGAAGAGTCAACATGGAAGAGGATGAAATCCAATCAGTGGCACAATTACTTGGGTGTGAGGTAAAAAGTTGGCCACTGGAGTACCTCGATCTGCCATTGGGTGGTAATCCAAAACATGAGGACTTTTGGAAACTAGTCATAGAGAGATTCACTAAGAAGTTAACCATGTGTAAGAGAAATTACATCTCGTTGGGAGGAAGGATTATGTTGATTAAGTCCACCTTAGCAAACTTGCCCACTTACTTCTTGTCCACCTTTAGGATCCCAGCAAAATTAGCTCCATAGCTAGAGAAGATAATGAGGGATTTCTTATGGGAGCCAGGAGAGGAGAAGAATGACCATTTAGTAAAATGGGAACGGGTTTATAGACCCAAGGAGTAGGGAGGACTAGGGATTGGGAACTTAGTGAAGAGGAATACAGCTCTACTAGGAAAATGGTTGTGGAGGTTTCCCCGTGAGGAAGATAGATTGTGGCACAAGGTCATTGAAAGCATTCATGGTGTAGCAAACAATGGCTACGATGCATTCATGGTGTAGCATTCATTCATCTTGATGTTGGGCATGGGAACAAGATTTTATTCGGGAGAGACTTTTGGCTTGGAGACCAACCACTTAGCTTGCAATTCCCTAACCTTTACTCTCTATCAAACCTAAAGGCTGAAACTATATCTAGGGTAGCTACACCATCAGAAATTGGGTTAAATTGGGACTTAGTGATGTAGGACCAGCTCAGTTCTAGTCCTTAGAGAATGTTGAATGGGCATCCTGATCAGAGTTTTTATGGCTGTCAATGGCTATAATGGCTTCTTGAAGAAATAAGAGAGAAGATAGGGAGAGAAAAAAGAGAAAAAATACCAGGAATCACTCACAGGCAAGGATCAAAGTATCGGAATCGGGTATCGTACATCGTACCGGATAGCTCGGATATGGATATGGATACAGATACGCTTTGGAAACGCTTGGGTATGGTAGTGAAATGCATACAAATCACATAAATATATTAATCGTACTAAACCAAAAGCTGAATTGTTTATGAATAAAATATAAACACATGAGAAATGCATACTTCAATAGGTTATATGAAGAGAAATATTACAGTAAACAATATTGGGACTCTAGAACATTCAAACATTGTACAATATTTATCACTCTTTCAATTTTATAATTATAATTTTCAATTTTTATTAATTTTTGGGAATATTTATTAATTTAGTATTTTATTTAAATAACAAATATTTTTAAATAATAAATATGTTTTCATTTTTAAATATAACTTTCTTATTTTAAACATAATTGTAAAATAAAACAAATAAATCATTTAAGGTAGATAAAATAAATTATATTTAATTTTCAGTTTTTATTAATTTTTTGGGGAAAATTAAATCTTAAATTATTCATTTCAGTCTTTATATTTATAATTTTCTGTTTTCCAGTAATTTTGTTGGGAAAAATTATTTATTTAGTACTTTTATATAATTACTCTATTTTTTCAAATAATAACCATGTTTTCATTTTTAACATATAATTATGTGTAAAATAAAATATACAAATCATCTAAGGTAGATGAAATATATTATTTTTATAATTTTTAGTTTTTATTAAATTTTTTGGAAAAATTAAATCTTAAATTATTTATTTTAGTTTTCATAATACTATTTTTAAACATGTATTAAAGATGAAAAACAATCCAAAAGTACTCAATGTACAATTTTGTCAAACTAGACACTGATACACCTCCATATCGGTGTGTATTGGACCGTATCCACCGATACAGTGCAATACAGCCCGATATGAAGGCATATCGTACTGATACACACGACTCGTAGGATAAATATCCAGTCGTAGTGTATCATGTATCCATGATCATGGATACAGATACGATATGCCCCGTATCGGGAGTATCGTATCAATACCTTAGTCCTTGCTCACAGGGTGCCTAGAATCACTCTAGGGCATGGGAATCACTCACTATAGCAAGCATGAGCTGAAACTCGATATAATTCATTGCTCTTTGTGTAAAACGTCCATACATATTTATAGACTCTAAACTCATAATAAACCTAGGAGTCAAACTGTTAGACTCATAATAGTCCTAGGAATCAAACTGTTAAACTCAATAATCATAGTAGGACTCAAACTAAGCTATCATATCCTATTTCAATTCAAAGAAGACTCAATAACTCTAATCCTACTTATGCAATGACTCTAAAATTTTAGACATAAACAAACTATAACTAGACAAATTAAACCCCATCATTGGACCCTACAAAAAATTGCAAAATGACAAAATACCTCTATTGTCCAAAAATACAAAAATTCATAAAATTCCAATTTTGACTCCTCATCTTCTGCATCACTTAGGGTTCAAAAGGGGTTTGAGAGACAATTAGTGTGATTCTCTCCTTGCCCTTTTGTCAAAGTTGGAAATGGTTTACCTGGACTAAAATGGCCTTGAT